CCTTCGCGGCGGGGCTTGAGGAGCTCTTCAACGGAGCGGCGGTGTGCCGGGGGAGCGGCGGTCGATGCTGAGCGAAAAACAGACTCTTCGGCCGCCGGCATGTTGTGAGGAGGATCGGTGTCCGAGTGGGCTAGCGCACACCAGCTTGGAGTACGTAGAGCGAAAGCTCGCGCTGCAGAACCCAGGGATCCTGGGCTCAATCCCCACCCCTACCCGTTTCGATCTGGGTGAGCATCATACCGGCGTGCGGTCGTTTGTCACTACTGCGTGGTGCACGTTAAATACGCCAGGCTAGCACTGGCTAAATTTCTCATCTACAGCTGGGAGACCACTCGCCTCTTTCCGCTAGGAGACCGAGGAGAGGGGAGTCGGGACTTTGTCAAAAATTACTCTGTCCGCCGTGCCGCTCGAAACAAGCGAACACGAGCAAAGAGGGCAACCCAGGTATTCCACCAAGAATTGCGCAACGAAGGGCGAATCATCGTGTCGTCTGCTTGAAAGACTTGTTTTCAAACTCCCCTCGCGTTATGCGAAGTCCCACTTTGGCAGTATCCAGCTGCTACGCGTAATATTGGATGGTTTTTAGAAACTCCTACTGCGCTTACCCATTCACTTCAGCAAATGGGCAGTTGTAGGTGGCATTCACGACGCAAACCACGACAGATGTGCGAATTAACCACGTCGCACCTCCGTCCTCGGGTACCTGGCGGCACCATTCCAACCGCATTGCACGACCGTGATACAGCTATCGCTTCCGTTTCTTCGCGTATTGTGGGCGAAAAATACCACTTTTTTGTTTGCACGAAGTCGATTGAAAAGCCGCTCAAAATTTGCAGAAAAAACGAACTCGAGTGATGTCTTAAATTAGCCACATGTTTTTTATTACAACACACAAAGAACGTGCCGCATACATGTGAGAACATTAAAGCTCTCTGCATAGCACAAATCGAACTACGAAATAGGACTGCGGCAGGATTCCATACAAAACACCCAAGCACGCAATGCCAATATATCACTTCCACACCGCAAGATCGAGTGACAATTCAACACTGAATTGAGGGTCAAACCAAGCGCAACACATTTCTTGCGACAACCTTTTTTTTCCCTCAAAGAAAAATTAGTTTACACGGAATAGATTGATAATGCGCTAAATTTACCTTATAGTACGTAAAATGGGAAGAAAAAATGGACGCAAGTAACTTGTTTTAAATTATTTACGTTCATTACTGCATCAAACGCCTCCTATTCAACATAAAAGTTCGAACGTGAAACCACTCTGAAGAACGCAAATCACAATGCAAACAACTTTAGTATTAGCTGTTTAAGCGTCATGGCGATTGTACGCTAGAAACCGGCAAGAACAGGGCGAACGTCCGTTGAAAGCATGGGGTGGGCGCAATGTACTTACGAGAACAACAAACTCCAAACGTGTAATCTAAGATCCCTGGTTCACAACACAATCGAAAGTGAAGCTGTCAGACACACTCAACGCCGCGCACGTAAAGCCTGCACACACCCTCTTCAAATGCGAAATCGGCACGGAAACGAAAACCTTCATGCGGACAATGACCGCACACTGCACAGCCACACGGACAAACGATGAGTCAGTGCCCGGTTAGTGCCATAGACCCAATGGAGTCGATTTCTGGGCAACTGGACGCTCAGCAGCGCTTCCGTGGTTGGAGGTGTTCATTACTATACGCGAAGCTACACACAGTACAAGCGGAAGTCTTTTTTGTTTAACGCGTATATGTTTATGTTGTTTGTGATATACTTGTTTAATAAGCATGGTACATTATAATGTAGTGACTGAAAGTTATAGTTTGTGCGAGATTGAGGAAGCACATATGTCTCTGTACGGCGAACATTATTTTTGTTCAATTTGAGTACTGAAACAGTCTACGAATGTTTATAATTTTTTTATTGAAATATGCAAAGTACCGTGCTTTTGGGACGCATTTTATCAAATGACTTCTCGATTCTGCAAACCGTCTCGGCCGACTTTATCAAAGTCTAAACTCGTTTAAAATTTGTCGCAACAACGTTCGAGTTGATCTTTTTTTCTGTCCGGTCGCATGCTTGACGGTAACAACTTGCTCTTCTTACGTCGATCCTCTATCTCAGAAAGATTATCGCGTAATGTTCAAAGAAAACCGTTAAAGCCTTGAACAGCACGCAATGCGGTTCCTGATAAGGGACGTATGCGTGCCCAGATTTTGGCAGAAACTCGGCCCCTAAGATACCAACTACCGAAACAAACTTTTTCCGCCTATTACTGTTTTTGTTTGTTTTTTTTTCACAAAAACGTTCGGTTGAGAACAAGCTACTCTGTGCTATACTCAGTTTCAGCTTACATCCGGCCGCAGCGGACGCCACGAGCCATCCCAACCAATCCAGCTCCGTAAAATGAGCACGTGACAGCACTTGACGCGCGTCACGGCACTTCCTTAGACGCGAAAGGACCAGTAGGGGCTCTGACACTGAGCATGATGTTGCACCGGGCTCTGTGGAACAGCGCAGACTATTTTTCTATGCGGAGTGCAAGTTCGTCTGCTTCTTTTGCAGGGGTTCTGGTGAGGTCAGAACGCCGAGCTCTGATTGGTTCTGAATGAAAGACAGTGGGTAGACCTCAAGGCAGCTTGCTTTGAGATCTGCCCGCTACCCTTTAATCAGAGCCAAGCATAGCTCGGCGTCTTTCTGACGTCACCGCGACTTCTGCGCAACAAGCAGACGACTTGCTCTCTGCATTGCCACTGACAGCTTAAGAAACGCTGGGTATGGCTTTTTAGTTTACACTTCTTGCTTCGTGATTGGCTCGTCAGCGCTCTCAAGGCCAATGCAACAATTTTATTGGCTGCTCAGCGGTGATAGGATGCTCAGGATTCGCCACGTCCTGCGGTTCTTAAGTTGTCAGTGACTATGTTTCTAGACACATTCTAAGCCTCGTCATCCGCCGAAGTTCCTCCGTAGATCGCAGCCATTAGATCTCCCGAGAGTTCTGTGGAAGAGCAGATGTTCGAGATTTCTTAGAGCGTATTTATTGACCTCAGTATACCCGAGTTACCAATGCAACGCCAAACCTTGCACGTCAAAAGCCGGATGGAGTAGCGTACTGCTTTGACAGCCTTTAACGCATTCCTAAATATTGAGGCTATATCAGATAACGTTCTTTAACAATGAAAAAAGTATGTATGGAAAGAATCAAGTTTGTCGTGCAGGGCACATGTTCGGTGGTTCGGCCGATATACATTTTTGGTACCTCGCTTCGTGTACGACTTCTGCGATAGGAGGGCAATGCTCTTGCAGGTGCATCTCCGCGCGACTTTCTTCCCACCGGTTCAAATCTCGGAATCCTTCTCTCGTCCGAGACCTCAAGAATTAGTTTTGCTGGGACTACAGGACAAAAATCACTCTGGACAGATGTCTGTGAAAATTCCTGGCAGGAATAATTCGAAAAAACATCAGCTTCAATAAGTATTCAAGCAAACCCAAGAACACGAAGCTATAAAATCGAACGAAACGCAATTATCTTGTCTTTCGTGTAAATATAAAGAACAAAATCTATTTTATATCGCTGTTAAACTCCTGAGACGCGTTTCTTATGACTTCGGTACTAAATATGGTTATCTTTATCGTTGACGAAAGTGCGTAGTAAGGGAATTTATCATTATTCTTCTCTACAGTAGCAACATGTACGACACAAACGCCATATGGCGCTATGATTATCTTTCTATATCTTCGTTTCAAAGACGTACTTTGTAACACGCAGTTGGAAAAAACGTACTGCGTCGCAGCTGCAGTACATACAGCAACCGCTTTGTTATCAATGGCACCAGAGCAAACGGAGCTAGGGGGGGTCACCGATCTTGGTTTTATCAGCATGCTGTTTCATTAATCACTATTTTCCTCGATCCATTTCTTTTTTTTTTACGCTTGGACAATTGCTAGATGGAAATTTTGTATTGAGGTTATCACAGGAATGTTATCAAGTACTCAGAGAGCAAGCTAGCTTAAATAGCGCAGACACCTTTGGGAGACAATCATACCAAGTATTATCTTACTGGCCCACGCCACAGCTGATGACCGGAGCAATGCTGAGAGTTACGGCAGTCGTTCTGCTTGTTGCTCCATCTTTGGCGCAATTGACAAAAGGCAAGTGGGGAATGGGGATTGGTGAAGTTGGTCCTGGTTTTATTTGTTCTTAGTTTATCCCTACGCTAAGGTAATAATAGCAGCCATGACCCTGCTACCGAGTCTACAAATTTCAATTCACTGCATGGGCTAGAAATTTCACCCGAGATAGTAGCTCTCTGAATTTATTTATAAAATCAGTTCCATACATCTGCACATTTCATAATCACAAGAAAGCGTAGGGGTACTGAATTAAACCATTGCGTTTATTTTCATTACATGACATTTTTAATCAATAAGACCGTAATTAAAATCTAGCCGAACTATTGTATTGGTTGTACAAATCGCAGAATGAAAGAACTAACACTATATGCGTGACACTTATTCAGGCACCACGAGTCATATTGTAAGGTCAAAAATTATTGATTTCTGTTTAGAGAAAAGACGGTGAGAGTGCAGGCGAGCTGGTGATAGCTATTCATGTCGTATTACACCTGAGAGTGCGGTGGAAGAAATCGGAAGAACTTTCAGTAGAAGGAACAGACACAGAGAACGTCTCAAACTCAGCTCAAAGTCAGATTGGACTGATTGTTGAGGTCTGGTAGTCTTCCACATGCTGTCGCCTGATTGTTCCTTTGGATACTCCTTAACACTGTTCTTCGCTTTACGCTCCAAAGACTGTCAAAAAGTACCTTCTTTCCTGCGTTCCAGCGTTGGAAGTCCTGATCGTGCTTGTATTGCTGGCCCCGAAGGATGGTCCAGATGCGCTCGCAGGCCCGTCGTAGTTCTTCAATTCTCTTGGTCGCACCTTGTCTGTATGCCTTGATAATCTTCTTTTTGGCGCTCCATGGGAATCTTGAGGATGATAGATGTTTGAAGAGGTTCGGATCCACATACCGCTTTCTCAAACTGATGCCCAGGAAAGCGACCTCCGCTTCCAATTCAGCCAGACGTCGTCCCAGGTTGTCGAGCGCCGTGAATGCTTGAAGGAGCAGCGAGGTTGGTTGGGGTACAGCCGCGGGGCCATGGTTGAAAGGAAATAAGCCTGCTTCCGGAACTATTAGTGAAAAGACGGTGAGAGTGCAGGCGAGCTGGTGGTAGCTAATCATGTCGTATTACACCTGAGACTGCGGTGGAAGAAATCGGAAGAACTTTCAGTAGAAGGAACAGACACAGAGAACGTCTCAAACTCAGCTGAGTTTGAGACGTTCTCTGTGTCTGTTCCTTCTACTGAAAGTTCTTCCGATTTCTTACACCGCAGTCTCAGGTGTAATACGACATGATGGTTCTGTTTAGACTCGGTTAAATCTCTTGGACAGCAGTATAAATATTATTTAGATAAAGCCATTTTTGTTCTCTTTTTTATTATAAAATGCCGCTTAGAAAAATCTATTTCTACTTGTTCGACAACTGCGGTGCTCCCCCCAACTCCTACGGCTTGCACGCGATCCCCTTTTTTCTGTTTCGCATTCCGTACGCGAGGCCGCGCCACTTTTCTTTGCACACTCGGATAGGCGGAAGACCCCCGCTATTATCCTTTTCGTATCTTCTGCTATGTAGCGTCATCTCCTCTCTATTTCGTTTGACATCTCGATGGACGGCAGCGAAGAGTATATCAGACACTCCAGCCTATCACTGTTAAAAAAAAAGACCGTTTAACTACGGGACATATCCCTGCTAGCCTTGCTGCCACATGTTCCATATCATTAAATTACGGAAGATGTACCATAATTCCTTCGTACGGAGCATATTGTGGCAACAAGGTTAGCATGCATGTGTCCCGCACACCGCTGTGATAGTGCAAATGCTGTTTGCTGCTAGCTACGGGAAGTGTGCCATCATGTTCAAAAGCAGCACATGTTCTGTTGGAAACAATGTCAGTACATTTTTACAAGGTGTCCCCCACAAAAAAATGTTATTTTTTGTTTTTTTTACTGGAAAAATCATCTATGCATTGTCCAACGCTCAGTTTGCACCTAAATTTAGCGCGAGCAGCCTACCAAATGACAAAGTTTCAGAGCTTGTCGCAATTTGACTCAAGCGTTATAATTGAATTTGGACATTTTTATAGGAGAAAATGGCTGCCCACCAGTACATGGAGATGAAAGGTTTACCCTCACAGAAACGGGCCATACTTTCACACTGAAACTTTCCCAAAAACATTTAGGATTTTTGAATACGATGGTGAGTTCTAAAACACTGGCATCCGGTTCGCACTGCCACCGCTAAATTTTAGCGGAGACTGAGCGTTTGACAATGCATAGTTTATTTTTGCGGTGAAAAAACGATAAATGTTTTATAGGACATGCTGCGTCATTGGACAGGTTTAGCAAGTCCAGTTCTGCAAGACGTACAATTTTGTCAAAGTATGTGTATACTCCTGTTGTGGCACACATACATGCACATATAGCTGGTGAAGCGGAAGTTCCCCATGCTGTGAATTCCGCATCTTTTGTGCAAAAATCTTCGGTGGTAGCCTGCGATATTAGCACATACCGAGGAGGATATATACTTCTTAAATCATAAAGGTTCGAAGGAAAGTGAAATGTTCATTCTTGAGTCCTGATGGTATTAAACCAGTACAGTAAACAGACTGTGAAGGAAAGCCAAGTGTTTATTGCATCAAAATTCTCAGCAATAGTACCAGCTTACAAATTACAACTTGCCGTAGAAAATAAATTGTGAAAAATTTATCATAATGAATGAACAAAGCCTCTTTGATCAGTACTAAAATCTCTCTATTGGGTTAAGTAATGTTGACAAAAAATCGACTAGATAAATCAAACAAATCTAACCTATAGTCTGTCGCAGAATAAGAAACGAGGCCCAAGGCACTCCATAAAGCTCTCTCGTCACCATTAGTGATATCCCCATTTCCACTTGCATTTTCTCCAGCGTTCGCTCAACTTAAATAGAAAGCAGTGGAGGGCTTGGCAGAGAATCGTATCCCCTGTTTTTTGTGGTGCAGAAAACTACAGTGCTAAAGTCTCCTGCCCCTTCTTGAACTTCGAAAGTTCTTGAAGGGCTCCCTGGAACTCCGGGTGCACCAGAGCCACCTTCCGAGGAGAACGCCGGTCCCCTCGTCCGGGTTCATGCCCACGAGTCGACTCCAAGAAATGTTATGTTCAAATGTGATATATATATAAATGTGATATATAATTACATAATTACTTATTTATCCATTTATTTAGTGCAGATTTAACTAATGCAAATATATTCCTCTGAGTTAGTATGTCTGATCCTCTTTCAATCTCGCTACAGCGACTTCCCCGATATAGAAAACCACGCTAAGTCGAACATATCTTGAAGTAGGTCAGGCTCAGCGAGTACCCACATATCATATACCCTATGACAAACATACCTCAGAGCTCAACCACCGCTCTAAGTTACATAGTTCGAGTACAAACCACAAGTTGTACCAGTTCGAGCTTTTACTGCAGTTATGTTTTTGGTAGAAGCTGGAATCAAGCTCACAAATCAGCGTCATCTTGTTTTAGGTATAATTTTCTTGCATGAAATCCTCCCTTTCTGATGACTGGATGGCGGTAGTCACCGGGTTGTGTCGGGTTCAAGCTCCTTGATAGGCCGAAGAGGGGTTAGGGCGTCTCCGAGATGACCGAGGACCATGCCGAACCCTCCTGGGCGGTGGTGTAATCACGAAAAAGAAAGTTATGGAGTTTTAGCCCCTCCCCTTCAAGAAAAAGAAAAAAAAAAAAAGAAAAATTTAGCCGGCTCTGTAGATGTGCAGGTCTCAAGTATCGAGCAGCGCCCCTAGCGAGCAAAAGTAGATATTTTTAGGTCGCCTTTCCGTTGTGCGTCACGTGACGCTCTTCAAACGCTCTGTTAGTTCCCATGGGCAGACGCTAAAAAACGCCGAGATACGCTAATTTACGTTTGTGGATCGTGCTTGACGGGACACTAGGCGGCGCCGCTTCCCACCAGCATTAAATGGTCGCGCCTCCCGAACCCCAGCCGAGGTGCCTCTTTTGTGATAGCGTCTCATGGACGTTACAGCTCACCCTCGCCGAGAGAAACAGGCCCAAGGCCAGTAGTTTTCAAGTTCATAACAGCGTCCCTGGAGAGCAATAGAATATTTTTAAGTCACATTTTGTTAGCGTGTCATTATGCTCCCCTGAGTTGCTCGGGGACGCTATAAAATATAGAAACAAAGAAGTTTAAAAGAACGCAATTTTTTGCTTTCGTTTTTCATTCAGGCACTTTGTTATAGCGCATAGAAATACGCTGACAGACGCTTGCAATCGTACCTTCCTCGTGCACGAACTGACGCTACAGCGCCGCCTTCATGGTCGCGACCGTCACTACTACATCGTCGCGCATTCATAATGCGCTCGCCTGAACTGGCCGAAAGAAACAGGCATATAATAAGCACATGCACATGTGACTTGTCCGCCTCAACCCCCCCCCCCCCCCCCCACGCACTCCAAGTCATGAATGTATCAACCACCCCAGTCTACGCCCCCCCCCCCCCCCCCCTTAAAAATAAAAAAAAGAAGACATTCCTGGCTAGCCGCTGCACCTGGGGCCCCTCAAATTAGGCTGAGCTCGGCGTTAGCGTCCGGGAGCGCGAAAATCTCAAACGGAGCTAAAAAATGAGGGAGGAGCACCCAGAAAGCTCACTGGGGTAACCGCTTAACTTCCTGCATCGGGTGCTCTCCAAGATGCGCGTGTTAGTGGTCATAAAATGTCAAAAAGATAGATTTTTCGGAGCACAATATATCACCTGTTGCTCTCGCCCTGCAGGAGAGAGGTGCGCATGCACAGCGCGGCCTCATGTCAATGGTGCATTGGATGTGTACGTATACGTTGCAAAAACAGCGGTTGAAGACTTAAACACGGAGCACGCCGTGCTCAATGCGTTTTGCAACGGCCGGTGCAAGCGCTGGCTCGATTCGCTTGAGTTGCGTGATGTTGGTGATATTCTCCTCCGCGCTCTGCGCGCTGCTTGCTGCGTTTCGCATAGCCTTTATGATCTCGAGGAGTTATAAAGTTCGATACAAATGAACAAATTTTGTCCTTTTTAGACAAGCTCAATGGGCCGGGAAGTTGTAACACGCACATATAAGCTTTTCTGTAAGGTCATCTTTATTGTCATGGGGGGAATTGACGTTCATTACCAAAATAACTCATTTGCGTTTCGACGGTACAGCTCCTGTTTGTGAACGCAAACGGAACATTGGATGTAATGCAGAAAGACGGGGCATGTTCTATTCGACTTTTCTCCGTCGACTGATGGCACAGCTCGTGTCTGCGAAGAAAAACAGTACATTGAATGTAATGCCGAAAGACGGGACATGGTCTTTCCGTCTTTTCCCCGTTGATTGATGTTACTGTTTTGTTGTTGTTTTTTTGTCTTTCTTTTTAACAGTGTGGAGTAGTCTTATATGCCCCGCTTGAGGAGCAGGGCATCGGAATGGTGCTCTCAGGGCAGCCATGTCGCCATGTTGGCATCAAGCACGCTGGGAAGCGACCGTCGTTTTTGCGGGAGTAACGGAGGCGCGTCGGGTGTGGCCGTGAGGCAGCATGCGGCGTCCCGAGCAGATAAAATAGTGTGGCAACGCGCAGCGCCTACAGTGTCGTCCCGTCATTTGTCTCCTCTATACTCTCGGCGAACTCGCAAATAGCATTCTTAAGAGTTGCCCATTTCCTTCCCATGCGCAAGTGCCAAACGAGGCGGCGTCTGACATAATTTCTCGTAGTCGGTATTCTGTAGATGCTCTTGCCACTACGCGCGCGATTAGCGCCGTTCGTAACACTGCAGCCCGTCATGTTCACGGGACTCTTTCTACGCGAATGCTAAAATCATTGCGGTAGAACGTAGCAGGCGATGTAAACGCCGTCCCTTCGCTTTCGGATGAACGTGACCGCTTCTCCGCCAATACGGAGTTGGCGGCGGAAGGAAAGGGAACGCGATACTCTGGTTTTGCGAACAGAGCCTATACAGTTACTCTATTCCAGCCAAGGGAGGGTTGTGAAATTATCATGAGACAACGCGCCCGCAAGGTCATGTGACACTGTTGCGGCGCTGGATTGGCTTTGATGGCTCGTTGCGTCCGCTGTAAGGTGTACTCTTAAGAAATCTGTAGCGTCTGCTCTCCCACCAAGCATTTGGGAGAGCGCTGCAATCTACGGAGGGCGTTCAGTGAATGACGGGGCTGATAAAAAATAATTTTAGAGAACCGTTTTCGCCCATCCGGTACGGTACGATGTGCCCTCTGATACGAACTGCGCATTTGCGAGTCTTCTGCGGCCTTACCGCAATGTGCCGTTCGAACCGTAAATCACGACCAATCGCCGACATCGACAGTCTCGCTTCGTTACATAAACAACTATTCTGCTGACAAAGGGAGCCTGCCGAGACTTCATACATGAATAAAATAACTCGGGGTAGTGCCTGCCAGGAGTGATATAGGTGGCAGCAAGTGTATGGAATCAGCAAATAGGAATGAAACTTCGGAACAAAACGCGAGAGAGGTTCGTCTTAAGAAATAATTCAACGTTTAGTAAATGCCAGACACGCTTGCGCAGTAGCTCAGTTGGTTGTAGCGCTAGTTTTGGTCTCGAAGGAACGCGAAGATGGAACGTTTTCAATCCGACTGACCTGCAAAATGTTGATTTTAATGTTATTACACATTTAGAATTTATTACTTAAATACAAACATTGGGACGTGCAATTCGGGCACTTATGACCCATTTCTACAGCTGCCATAATGATTATCAGGGTTGTCTGTAGTGCCGACCAAGTTAGCAACAGTTTTTTTTTTTTTTTCATCAAGACTCTCGATACTTGCTTTAAACATTATGCGTGAATTAAAGTTTTGTGTTCTAAGTCTAGTCACATATGTCCTATAAAACGAGCCCACTGGATACTGGGTGATAAGTTTTAAAAAGAAGGGCACAGCATTAACGTGACAAGTGTTTATTTTTTTTTTCCTTCGTGGTCGTATCGTACACGGCACGACGATCGGTTCGCTGAAATACGACCGCGATCATCTGCTATCTACCGTAAGCGATCGCAAGAGCAACGTGAGCGCCGAGGCGATTGGTGTAGCCTAGCCTCCTCAGCCCAATCGCGAGGGCCTCGTCCCCTGACACCCGGAGCCAGCCGATGGTTGTCCGCGTCTCCGAGATGCGCAGCTCCGATCGACCAAAGGTTACATTCCAAGCTAAGGCTACCAATCCTGGCTACGTGACTGAAGACAGAGGAGGTGTTTCACCTTCTCTGTCTTCAGGCACGTAGCCAGGATTTTGTTTCGGGGGGGGGGGGGGGGGGGGCCCACCCATGACAAATTCCTGTATGAGAGGGAGGGGGGAGAGGAGGGCCCCAGAAAAATGGACGGTTTCGGGGGGGGGGGGGGGGGGGGAGGCCAAGCCCATGCCCCCCCCCCCCCCCCCCCCCTGGCTACGTGCCTGTCTGTCTTCCCTTCTAGAATACTCTCAGGCTGTGTTCCAAATCTCACTCAAATGAATCTTAGTTACTCCGGCCGGTCGTGTCACGTAACAACACAGACTGAAAAAAAACCGGACGCGGGTAGGTTTTAAAACAGCAAAGTACAAAACCCTTACCCTGGAGTAAGATCGAGTAAATTTTGGAACACGGCCTCAGTCAGTAGCACCGATCGGAGATGAGGCATATCGTTTTTCGTGAACCTGAACTGCCGTACGACACCTTCCTCGTCCATCCACGCCAGGTCGAACGTTGCAAGCCTCGCGCCAACAAGCGCCTTCGCTTTGTGCGCAGAGAGTCGTACAAAATAGAATGTTCTCAATTGTTTTCGCCGAATGCGGAGACCAAGTCGTTTGCTTCTTGCGTAAGAGTTGCGGCGACGTCAGAACGACGCCGAGCTCTGATTGGTTTTGATTGAAAGGATAGTGGATAGACCTCAAAGCAAGCTGCCTTGAGGTCTGCCCACTATCCTTCAATCAGAGCCAAGCAGAGCTCGGCGTTCTGACGTCACCACAACCCCTGCAAAAGAGGCAGACGAACTTGCTCTCCGTATAGCTCCGCAACTCCAAGACGCGACCAAAAAGATCGAGCTCCAGTGTTGTCGGAAAGCTCGTATGCTCCTTTAGCAGACGAACAATTTTAACTTAACACTGCCCGTGGCGACACCCCATGGAACGCCAGGGGCTGTACCACGGAAGCCCATTCATTTTAAGAAAACAAGACGAAGTATGAGTAGATATACGAAGTTAGGTTCTTTATATTTTCGAGATGCGAATGTTATTTACTTCAGTTTCTGCGATTCGTAACCCCCCTTACGCACAAACGTAAATCTGTCTTTTCTGATGAGACCGATGTAGCTTGCCGTTGCCAGGGGGCGCGACCTGTGCCAATCGTCTGCAAATAATGTTCCACCAAAGCCGTGTCAAGGTACACGATCGGTCCACACGGCCGATCCAAGGTATCAATCGTTTTTGTCTATCGATCATATTTCGTTTCGGTTCAATAAACTTTCTAATGGGGAGTTTTAGGGAACAGTTTTTTCGCACATCCGATACGGTACAATAGGCCCTCCGGTACGAACTGCGCATGCGCTACCGCAGAAGACACTCATATATGCGCAGTTCGTACCGGACGGCCCATCGTACCCTGTCGGATGTTCAAAAACGGTTCCCTAAGACCAACGGTATGCGCTCTGGCACTGAGCATGGTGAAACATCCTGCTCAGCGGCAGAGCGCAGACAGGGTGTTTTAGGTTTAAAGAGATTACCAGCATCGGTCATTCGTTCAACGCCCTCCGCGAATTGCAGCACTCTCCCAAGTGCCTGGCCGAAGAGCAGACGCTCCACCTTTCTTAGTGTTCAACGTAGGAACGGTGTACAGAATTGCGAAAAGTTCGAACTTGGCTGAATCAATCGCACGTCCTCCTGTTCTTCAGGGTCCTGCGGTGTTTCCCCAATCCAGCCAGTGCTGGACCCCGAAGACCGGATAGTCGGTGGAGCGACCGCCCTGCCCGGAAGCTGGCCCTGGCAAGCGCAGCTGCACAACTGGCTAGGAGGTTTCTGCGGCGGCGCATTGATAAGCGACCGGCATGTCCTCACGGCTGCCCACTGCGTCAAGTGGGTTGATGGAGACCCGCTCTACTCACTTCGCTGACCCAAGTCAGAGGCGATAGTGGGGAGTCTTGGTATATCGTTTCGGTACCTCCGATACCGAGAACCGATACTCCCCTGACGCCTCTGCATTTGAGTACAATCGTTATCGGGCATCCTTGTCGGCTAGCTTAACTTGTGCCTGCATCACGAGTGGTAACTCTGTCGCAATCCCGCGATTCCTACGTGCTTCTAACATTTCTAGATTTTACTTAGGAGTTGTTAATGTGACTCAGCGAGTTTCTAATTGGAACCATATATGGTTCCAATTCGACAAAATAAACGTATACGTTGATTTTGTTGAGTTAAAAAGTTATTTAACAGATGTTACTTAATTATCAGACTTGTGAGGAATATCCCCCTATATTATGTTCCATGCTTGGCCGTATAACTCAACTACACAGATCGCATTAATGTACCTTTCACGGATATTTCAATGTATCCATTGGAATCAAAATCAAACACCCTGCATATAGAAACGTGTACCAGTTGTTTTCAGGATGGTTGTCTCTGCATTGTGCCGGGCCGCCCTCACCAGCTTGGAGATAGCGTATATTTTTAGCGACGCATCATTTTTAATACCATAATACGTTACGCGAATTTATTGTAGGCCCCAATTCACTGTGACGCATATTTGCCAGGATCCCATTTGTTGAGTGCAGACTTTTTTTCTAAGTAAACGTTTAATAGATCCGCCGAAGAGTGGCGACTTTTCTAGTGCAACATTCTTGTCAGCCCAAATATTTAACGTGGGTCGCGCAATTCTGATTCCACGACCGCAGGCAGGAATGTACACGGCTAGAAACTAAGGGAGAGGAGAAAACGAGAAAGCACAGAGGCGCCAGTGACTGCTCTGAGTGCAGGGATTAGTGGTGAGACGCAGGCAACATTGTCTCTACTCACTGTTCATAGCCTTCCATATACTGACAGAGCCTGGCAGATCGCCACGAGAAGCGGCCGCCGAAATGGGAAACGTGGAGCGGCATAGAACGGATGAGAGGAGAGCCACGTGACAGGCGCCCCGCTGCGGCAAGACGCCGAAACACACTTCTCCCGAGCGAAAAAGTGTGTTTCGGGTACTTGGCGCTGCAAACTCTGTGCGCTGACGTCCAGGTTTCCCGACAAATGTCTCCTTGATTCCCTGTGCTACCAGATCCTCGCGCTCCAAACCTGCGCCCGGTCACTCATGGCTCCGTCGTCGAACTGACAGGCTGTGTGAGCAAAGAGGAGGCTATGCACCGTTCGAACACAAACGCCGAACGCCACACGCCGTCCTTCCACGTTCTTCCGGTACAAAATTACACGTTTTGTTTGTGTTTTTTCTTGTCTTTTTTAGTTATGTCTACATAAAACAAGTTGTGGTTTGGGGGTGGGGGGGGGGGGGGGGGGGGGTCGGATCAGGATTCTTTGTCCTGAACACTGACCAACTTTGGCTTTGCTTTTTTTGTTGTTGCTTTTTTTGGTTTGGCGGGGGGGGGGGGGGGGGGGGACACGCTGTACATCGGTCTAAAGTGTGACGTGTTGCTTGACATATAGTTTTAGAGCGCAGCTCTCAGGCGCCCGTTTCCGGCTTGGGCGGCGTCGCCGTCGGCATCGGCGTAACCGTGAGGTCACATGATTCCCGTGAGGTCACGTGACCCTGGTGACGCCACATGACCCCCGTGAGGTCACGTGATCCCGGTGACGTAACATGACCACCATGAGGTCACGAGGGTCACGTGACCTCACGGTTACGCCGACGGCGGCGGCGAGGCCGACGCCGCTCAGAGGGAGGAGTAGCATTCAGGATGAGGTGGGGAGGAGGTTATACGGTCCTTTCAACACCCTTCCCTCCTCCTCCTCAAAAGCTGCGCTCTAATTTGGAGTTACAGGGAGTTGTAAACGGCTTTCATTTTCTAATCTCTATTATAACGAGGAAGGTTTATTTTGTCTATTTGCTCTTCATTTGCATGTTCATAAACAGCGCAAATTATTTTAATGCAGGCGGCGTTTGTTACGAGAAATACGTGTTTCTCTCGGCTCTCATCGTCGGTCAAGAAAGGACGACACGGAGCAATTTTTTGATGTCGCAGAAATTTGCATTCACCCTCGATACAACGAAAGCCTAAAACTGGTAAGGTCTCGAGTGACAAATACCGGCATGGCTGGTTTAGCAGTAACAATAAAGGGGCACATGTGCGATATTCAATTGGTATGTTTTTCACGTTACACGAGCTTAATGTCACTGTACTCTGACCGTGTTTACATGAATGCGACCGAAGCGCGTCGAATCAAGGAGGGACCAATCACACGCATCCTGTTTCCTTCCTCCTTCTTTTTCTACCCATCTAGTACCTATCGAAATAGTCGAATCTTGATTGGATTCGCTACAGTCGCTTCCATGGCTGCGTTTACATGGATGCGACCCCAGCGCATGGAATTGGGATTTAACTTTTGATTGGAAGTAGATGGGTAAAAGAGGAAAGAGACAGGGTTTGTGGGATTGGTCACTGCTCGATTCGACGCGCTACGGTCGCACTCATGTAAACCCAGCCCATGTAAATGCAGCCTATGTTTCATACTTAGTGTACAACGCTGTCAAAACTGCCGTGTCCTTCCGCGAACGAAACCATAGATGAAGCCATGCGCTCGCGCGAGTAGCTCTGCCAGCGTTGTATACTAAGTATGAAACGGAGTGTAGTGGAACCAATGTACTGACACGCCATTCCACTGACCAAGAAATTTCTTTGTTGTGGTGTAATTTCAAGGATAAAAGCGAGCGTTTTCTTTCAGTTTCTCTTTCGCCTAGCTGGATGACGTATAGCACGGAGGTCGCAGTGTTGGCATATTCAACGTTTCTAGATCACCTCAGTTGTGGAACTTCTGCGGAGGGGATGTCCCCTTTTACACGCTGCAGTTCACCTTCCGTCGTTGGAAGCGCAATCTAAATTTTTGGTTTAATAATTGTGCATTTCATGGAGTACGGTGAAAAGCCATTTAAACGCTGTGCTTCGAAATATACCTATTCCATATAGAATACGCTGAAGTTACTATAACAGCCGTCCCCCCAAATTGGGAGCGCCTCAAACCGCGGGAAGCTAGAGTAACTGTACGTGCTCCGCTTGCGGAGCAGAGTACTGCAATGGTGCTCCAAGGGCGACCATGTTGGGTCCAAGGCCGCACTGTGGGAAGCGACCGCCGTTTCTGCAAGAGCCCCGGATGCGCGGATGGTGTGGCTGTGAGGCGGCGTGCTGCGACGTGCGGAGCAGCACTGTGTGTGCCTACCGCCTTCTACTCTGTCCTTGTCCTTGCGCTGTTTGTTTTCCGCGAATATGAATGACCAACTACCCCAACCGTCAACACTGCGGAGCAGAGAACATGTAGTGCGGCGAAACGATGTGCGTACGCCGTCGTCCTGTCGTTTGTCTCCTGTTTCTCGGTATGCTTTCAGTAGAATGTAGTAGCTGACAAAAACGTCGTCCTTTCGCAAGCCAAAGCTACGCGTTGTTGTCTGGTCCGAAGTTCCCGGATGTGCCACTCGCATATCACTCCGCGAGCGCCGCAGACGGGAGCTACGCGATCGTCCTCCGTGTCGTCTGCTTCCTGGACTTTTAAAACATGTTTTAAAACATCGCTCGCGTTATGAAACAACGTGCTTATACTGTATTCAGTGGCTACACATACTTGTGAATTGTCAAAGAACCTTCCAATTCATTCCATTTTAGTGTAGGATATATATTTCGCAAACGCGAAGCAAGAAACATGATCCGCCCCAAACTTGTCACCTGGAAGGTCGCTTTTCCGCACAAAGAATGGACCCAGCTCGGTGCACGTGACCGTTTCTCTGCCAATGCGGAGTTCGGGGCTAAAGGGAAAGGAACGAGATACTCTAGCTCTGCAAGCAGAGCCTATGCAGTTACTCTACGGGAGCCGAGCCGTTGGGACAGAAGGTGGTACTGTTCGTGCAAGCAGCGTCTATGGCAGTTCCGTAACTGAGCTAATATAGTAACGTTGCCATAATCCCCCCAGTGACGATATTTCTAGGTTGCTCATCAAGCGGATTCCGAGCATTGCGTGAGCACTCGATTTGGACTCCTGATAGCTCGACAAGCATGCGGCGACTGGCTGGTTTCGAATCGCTGCAGTGACGAACATAGAGGAACCCTAACAATGTCTGGAACTCAGCGCATGTACTGTGCCTTGCCAATCCCTGCGCGTGAATATGAGAAACATCGACGGTATATAATCGGCTCCAGATCACGTAACCGCTTGGTCTAGCTGCGAGCTCAAAACGTAAACGCTGCGCGGTTTTTTTTTTTTTCTTTTTTTTTTTTTGAGACGATATTAGCGTGGGAAGACAAAATACCGTATGTTTGATATGTAATAAAAATCGAGGATTTATTGAAAGTGGTATTTGCGAAAAGTAAACAGACATATTATCTAGACTGCCTGACGAACCTGCATATTTTACGTGTGACGTCATCCCAGCAGAAGAGGCGGGTAAATTTGAAACTCGGTTTCGCATCACCTTCATTTGCCTCAAGTACATCTCTAAATTTAGGGATAATAAATAGAATGCAGGTAAAAGTAAATCCCAGGTATTTCGATAATTTAGTCACTTGTAGAATTTGGACGACCGTGACGGGCCGCGTTTTCGGGAGCTTCGCCAGGCTCGGCTGCCTTTCGCACAACAAAGAAACTTCTTACATGTTTTGGTTTTGGTTTTTTACAATAAAAGAGCCAAATGTTCATAAATAGGTGTTTTGCTTTTATATATTTTGTAATGAATCCAGAGTCATTGACAATAATATACCTGGTATTGATGATGATAATTTTGCTGCATTCAATACTATGGAATAAATTATGATATCAAATGTATAAAAGCGAAAACAAATGTCTAGTCGACAAGAAATATCGCTGTTGACAAATGAAGTTAACTTAGCAAATATCTCCATTCAATGTGAGAGAAAACTCTGAAAGCATATCTTTCAAGACCATTTTTAATAATGTTTTGCTTGTTTTTGTATAAATACCCCTGAGAATGGTTTAAGACATCCACTAAAGATCAGATGCAATACCTGGTTTGAACATAAACATTGGTACATTTAAAAAGACGTTGTATTTGAAGTTTTATTGGAAGATTCGAAGCTGCGTCATAGCCGTTTTTTTTTTCTTCCAAATAATTGATTATTTGCTGGCACCTACTCATAGTGTCGGTTGGCTTCAAACTAACAAATAGTAATGCAGTTAGTCGTGTACAAATATAAAGGTTTTCATACACACGTCCAACTTGTGCGGTAAAAAAAAAAAACATTTGTCTAAATTGAGTGAGGAAAATCATAAGTCCGTAAATATTACACTTTGAAAGTATTATCCTGGATGCTGTGACAGTACGACCAGCAAAAAATATTGTTACTAATGCACCGAAAGTCGAGAGTGAAATTTACACATTTTTCAACTGCTACTAAGCCTAATGAGAAGCTGGGCTTGACTAACCCTTCCTAAGTTCGTTTTTGTTCATAAACGTAAAGTCCGCATACACCGTGGGGAAGTGCACTGTTCCCCAAACTTAACGCTGCCATCAAATGGTTCGTACCTAGCACTTTTTGTGCGATTCTTGAACCTGCCGGTCCAACCGCATTGTGGTTTTGAACCCCCGATCACAATCCGTCATGGTGAAGACATCCCAACTGCTGCAGTGCCAATTTAACCTTAAGCAGCCAGCCATAATCAATGTTTAGGTAAACGAGTGGCGACATCAGGTTTGAGAAGTACTGTACATAAATTATATAAAATATCGCAAGTTTCGCAGGAACCTTTATTGTGGCCACAAAACAACGTTAAAATTGGTGAATGGTTCACTGTTAGCAAATTGTTTTTACAACAAAGTTAAAGGACCGTTCTTATTTTGTCTTTTCGTCCACAAGTGACGTACCGAATGTTCTTAAAACGCTAAAAATCTTGTGCCTTTCATTCATTTTTTTATATTTTTTTTTTGTCGCAGCAGACGTGCTAGATTACTTAATGAGAAAATAATTACAGGCGCTTCAGGGGCCACTAACCTTACGAACTCATCAGCACGTCCAGTTTTTTTCAAGTTCTGTTGATTGTGGTTGTGCCTATATGCTTCACGCTTAAACAGTCCTCCCACGCCACCAAACGCACTTGGCATTCCCCACATGCCGTCATAGCCTCGTCACAAAAAAAAGGGAATGATGCAAGTTTCATTAATAACATGCTTTCAGGCCACTTTTGAACGAACATGTGCTCAAAAAGTGACAAAAATGACGGGTTTCTCAATGTTGCGTTAAACAAATTCAGCTGAGCACCCACTTTAACGGCCCCTATATGGTCACAATCAACGTTCTCATGTGCTTCCGGTACCAGATATTGTATTGCAATTGTTTGTAATTTACCGCGGTTTCTGTGGGCGTTCTTCTTATCGTAAACATATAACGGTTGGTCTAAACGAGCGTACGTTCGCAAAAAGGCTTAGCTCGTGTGGAGAAACGACAGTTTCAAAAAGCAGAAGTTTCGTGCTAGGGCTGCCGGCATAATAAATATATCTTGTTTGCCTAAAAGTCTCTATTCCGCATAAACCTTTTGGGGGGAACTATCCATAAGCTTTTAGTTTTCGTGATGCAATTCAAACTATTATTTTACCTGCGATTTCTCAGATTTGTTCAAGTAACTAAGTTAGACGTGTGTAGGTAAACCATCACAGATTAAACATAACATCCCACTTAGGCATCAGCTTTATTTTATTTAACTGTGAGTTAAAGCCAAATTAATAGGCGTGCAAACGACGACGACCATGCTTTGCATCATGGAATAGAAATCTTGGAATAGAACTTCAAATATATCGTCCTCTCAAATGTACAAATCTATGTCCAAAACATATATTACATCTGATTTTTATTGGGTGTCGTAAACCATACCGGAGGCTCTTCCTGCGAAAAAAATATTCAAAAGAAATCTTTCATAAAGCTGATTTTGAAATTTGTAATTTTAGTGTTTACTCTCGCGTTCAAAAGCTTTTTTCACATAAATTATCTTAAAACAGCGTTAGTGTTCTTGTAGAATAAGTATTTTTTTAAGTTTTAATTATTTTGTTTATAATATACGATAAAACAAAACTCGAAGTACATAAGTTAACATCGTCCAAACCGCCCAAACTATAGTCAAAGGGGCTAGGTTCAAAATGCTTTACAGGAATAAAACCAAGAACAAAATTTTATGAACATTTGGCTCTTTTACTGTAGTTTGAAAAACCGCATAAAATATTTCTTTGTTGAGTTGAAAGTATCTGAGATTTCCGAACCTCCCAAATACGCGATCTCTGACAATCGCACACATATAAATATATGTATATACCGGAGTCACAAAAAACAAATTACAGTTTTTTTTTTATTAGCGCAAAAATAAGTTAGGCATCGCCGAACGCTCATTCTCCACCCAAAGGTAGCGCTAGAGGTCACAACCAGAGGCCAAAGTTTCAGCCCGATCCTAGACCTTATTTAAAAGTCATAAGTGATTTTCTGTATATTTCAATGGGAAAATGGAGCCCATTTTTGCCCGTTTTCAATTTCTGGTGCCATAGAGCCCCATGTATTCGAAAACTCTGTCGGCCGCCATTTTCCCATTGAAATGTTCAGAAAATCACTTATAACTTTTGAATAAGGAATCGGATCGGGCTGAAACTTTGGTATCTGGTTGGGACCTCTAGCGCTACATTTGGGTGGAGAATGAGCGTTCGGCGATGCCTAGTTTATTTTTGCGGTAAAAAAACCTTGTAATTTTTTTTATGTGACACCCTGTATATAACGAAGTTAAACACTCACGGTGAAAAACAACAAACAGCGGAAGTTTAATCAACAATTTCGCCGAGAAACTTGGCTTCGTCAGGGGATGTCTTAGAAGTGAGGACATACCGCTGCGGCAAAGAAGTTGAGAATTGGAGAAAGAAAAACGTAGCAACACAAATGCAAAAAGAAAAACAAAGTTTTATGTTGTAAAGCAAGGTAAGCGTTTCTACACAGCAAACAACTTGACCTGAGCCCGCTCCTCCTGCGGGGCGGCGGATTACAAAGTGCGCTTGAACGCCTACAGCTACAATAGGTCGCAAACGGGCGATGTCGTCGTGGCTGATGGCACTTAGTCCCCCACGAGCCAATGCACTTCTGCGACGGTCGCCGGACCTACCTAGGGCGCCACGCGTGTAAAAAAAAAAAATTAATCAAAACATCGCACGAAAAAACAAAGTATCTTTTCTTTCTTTGTCGTTTGTCAAAAAAACAAAAGAGGACGAAAGGATAGGGGATGGGGGGGTACGTTCGTGAGATGTGGTTAATGAAGCACGCGTGCAAAGGAACATCACGGTTCCACAGAAGATAGCATTTACAATATAGGAGTCGTAATAGAATAATCACGTGCTCCAATTCCAGCAGAAAATGCCGTACCATTTTGAAAAGGTAGGGTTGGTTAATGCTCTTATTGATGCAAATGTTCCTGGTCTCTCATTTATTCCTTTTTCTATTGTATTCAATGTGTATCGGGTCATTCCGCGTGAAACGTCCCACATGTTGCGCTCGACCACCTCCGATCTCTAAAGAAATTCATGGGCTTCGGCCGCAATGTCCGTAGCCATACGCTAAAATAGTTTTGACGAAAAAAAAATGTGTGATGACGAGAGCGCGATTTTAATTTTTGAAAACAGCGTGAAACTAGGCATCACTCGATAATTGACGAAAAATCAGCTTTTTTATGAAACACCCAACAATTTTTTTTTTTAATTTGCATGGTTTTTTACTTACAATGTGATTGGGTTTGTGCAGTTTTGTTTAATTTTGATATTGTTTAAAAAAACATATTTTATATAAAAATAAACATTTTTGTCATTTTACTAAATACTATATATAATTGCTCCCGGGACCTTAATAACTTTTTACTGGCTGCCCCCTCTAGGTATATAATCTATAAAAAATATTTAAACCGCTCAAATAAACATCTTGCAGTAAAAAAAAATCCTGAAGTTGCCAAAAAGTGCGTTTTGACGCATAAACAGCCGTTTATTCCACCCTGATTCGGTCCAAGTAAAAATACAAAATATGGTGGGTTTGGAAGAACGATTGATCGTCTTTTGATTCTGAAAGTTTAATCAGAGTAATTTTTGTTTAAAGCGAGAAAACAATTTTTGAAGTTGAACTCTCGCACCACTACCCGGCGTCGCTTCTTAACGCCTCTTCGCCGCACAGCACGCCACCTGCGACGATAGCCGAAGCGATTAGGTCCAAAGAAACAACGGAGTTTGCTGCCCGCTTCCCCTCGTCTCTCTTTTCTGGCTGTGAGGGAAGAAACGGCGGGTATCGTGTAATAATCGGAGGTGCCGCAAGTGCGTCGCCATAGCAGGCACGAACCCAACCATATTGTAAGTCGACAACCGTGCAAATTTAATAAAAAAATATCGTTGGGTGTTTGATAAAAAAAGCAGATTTTTCGTTAATTATTGAGTGATGCCTAGTTTCACGCTGTTTTCAAAAATTAATATCGCGCTCACGTCATCAAACAATTTTTTTTGTCAAAACTATTTTAGCGTATGGCTACGGACATTGTGGCCGCCGAAGCCCAAGGATTTTTTTTTAGAAATCGGAGGTGGTCGAGCGCAACGTCTGGGATGTTTCACGTGGAATGACCATATATGAGGTATGGCTCTCGCTGTTCGCACTTCCGGTTTAATCTAAATCCAGTTTCCACTGATGTCACAGATAATGCATTGAAAGGATGCTCTGGGAGGCGGAGGTATTTTGAAGGAGGGAGGCTTGGATGAGGTTTAGAGAGAGCTCTTTGGTTGTTGAAGCGTAGACTAAACGCTCTCTCAGTATGTCCTACGTATTGCGTTTTGCATACTCTATACTCTAGCAAGTACGTTTGAGGAGTTGCATGTCAGTTCCCCTTCAATTTTCATTGAGTTCTGCGAATGCGTGCTTCTGGCTGGGTTTCTTAGCTGTATTCGCAGATTAAGCACTGCGGTGTATTAGAGGGCCTGCATTCGTTGTGTCGTGGCGTAGAGTTTAACCGAGAATTTACTAGCGTTTCTCTAATGTTGCGTGATCGTCTATAGATCAATCACGTTGGGGAGATCTTATATATACGATCAAATTATTCTTTCTGTTTGCGGCATAAAATATCGCATTTAGATTGCAGTCAGTCTGAACCACTGTTCGGTGTAGATTAATTGAAGTGACCTGGGCTGTCTTCACAATTTTGTTTTTGTAAACTGGTTGCTTTGTTGTCTATAATATGCTAATGTAAATAACCTTTCGATTGAAACCTTCATATTATGGAAAGCTATAGTTAGTGTTCATTGACAAGATAAGAAACTATTAAGCATTCTCTTGGCGGATTTTGACAGCTCGCCCACAAAACTGACAAGTCGTGGGTTTCTTCTGGATTTCTAGGTCATGGTACCCGACATAGCGATCATCAAATTGCGTCAGTCAGTAAACATGACGAAAGCAATTCAACCGGTCTGTCTGCCAAAGAACGGAGACAAGCTGGGTTTGGGAGCAACGCTTTACGCCACAGGTTGGGGCGCCACAGACGGTGAGGAAAACCGCAATCCATTCACATATTTCAATCGCATTTTTTTATTATTAAACTTCAGTATTAAACAATTTGGCCAAGTCAAATGCTTTTCAACGATGCTTCAGCATCCTGGTATTAAATGTCGTATATTGTTGACTGAAATAAATAGATGAATTGTATGCACATTTGTTTTTGTTTGCGATTCATATATGATTATTTATAGCGGTGCCCCCTTTGTCTCCATTGAAATCGCAACTTTTTACTGCCAAAAAAATAAAGACACGAAGCACAACGCCGATGTAAATTGGTTTGATTGTAATTATGCACGTTTTGCAACCCGCGCTCATGAACTGAGTCATCAGTTCATAACAATTTATGAAGCTCCATTGTCTCCTCTTCCTCTCTCTTCTGGTATCTTTCACGTGTTTTTGAGTACCTTTGCCGCGTTTCCAATCTGCATAAATTGCTTACGTATTTGTCCATGCTCAGATATAAATTTATTCCTTGGCGTTTCTATACTGCATTTAACCTAAAATCTCATTTTATGATCTTAAACGGATCTAAGCACGGTGACTGAAACGAGTGATTTGTGACAGCTAACTCTGCATATTCAATAAGTGCAAACTATGAGGTCCCCTCGTCACAAACCGTCACCACCGCCAGGTTATCTTAATAACTAATTCACATACTAATGAAACGAACACTCTGAGGCTCTTGTATGCTTTGTGAGGCTTCTAATTTCTTTGAGTTTGTTGTAATTTATTGTTTACTCTAAACATCGTGATGCCTGCGTCTGATCCGATGCCTGGTAAAATTATCATCTCATGGTATAAAAGTTATGGTTAAATAATAAGGACTTTATTGTACGCTGTCCTTAGCATTACTACCCTTTTAAAAAAATCTTTATATTTGTTTAATAAACGTGTCAGAGCCTACGAACATTAGATAAATTATTGTATTATCTTATCCGTTCTCATATATCTAAAGCTACAAATTAATGCATTTTTTTAACTATTTCCATGCAAACGTTTACTACCAAAATATTTTCATTTGGTCTCGCCGTAAACCAAAAGCTGTACTGACTATCTCATCGCTATAGGTAATTAAAAGGCTGCATGCTTGAACCCTTTACAAGCAAACCAAACAAGCACACAACACGACCACGCTTCATCGGTTCCAGCAAAACTTCTAATATAGTTGTTTTTTTTTTTTATTGCGCTAGAGACTGCAAAACGTGCGCGTATTCATCGCGGTAAGTACTGCACATTTTATTTCTTATTTCCATTTTTTTCTTAGGCTTACACACAAGATTCCCCCAGGAGCTTAAGCAAGCCATGGTCAAGGCCATGCCAATTGACATCTGCAGGAAAAAATGGGGAGCCAACAGGATCTCTGAACTCATCTGCGCCGAACATCAATACGGATCTATTTGTGAAGTGAGTGTAATTATGGGGCACATCTGCGAAATTAAGCTCCTCTGTAAGCTCTTGTTTTGATCATTGGCATTATGAAATAGCGGAATAAACCGTCACCTACCTGGGAAGTACACAATACGAACCTGGGCTATCATGCAAAACAGCCCTAAAGCACAGCCACCATTGACGCCTTCGATATCATTGTCAGGTCATGCTTCGAAAACTGAATGCATGACGAAGCAGACATGTTTATAGCATATAATAATAAATGGGCTTGCGGAAACAAGTACGCGCGAGAAGGCATAAGAGAACACACCATTATACCCACGCGGCTGTCCGCAGACCTAGAATACATTGTTCTTCCGAAGATGACTTGACGTCGAACATTAGGTCCTAGCCTGGTCATATAATAAATATCTATAACACGAATACACCTGGAGTGCTTGAAAGGGTACTCCAGAGGTTTTTTTAACTACCTCAATCAACTCCCCAGCCTTTATTTACCCTTTCCGGTATGCTATTTAGTATCGCGAAATTCATAATAGTTATTATGAAATCGGCAAATGAAAATGTTGCAAAAACCAACATTCAAATATAACCGTACTTTCCGGTGCCGTGACGTCAGTGGCAGGCAGTCTTGCCAGTCAAGCGAGCAGTCTAAAAAATGGAATAAGCCAATCACTTGTTCCGTGCAGGTGCGCGGGTACTGGAGGGAGCTTCCCAAGCATTCATTTGACACCATGAAACTGCTTCCAATCAGTAAGGAACAGATTGTCCAGTCCAAAGGGTGAACCCCTGCCTTCCGCTGGCGTCACTTTTTCGTGGTTGCCAGTACAGACTCAGTTCGGAAAACACAGTGAGGACCAAAACTCTAAATTCAATAACTTCGCGAAAAAACAATATGTTGATGTATAATATTTGGGATCCTATTTTAGCGATGTATGTTGGCGAGCTTAGAAAGCTTTCAAGCAAATCGGAGACAATAAAAGAACCTTTAGAATACCCCTTTAATGTGCGTGGAAATGACTTAGATGCAGTGGCGTGACTAGGGTCAGCGGCACCCGGGGCGGTGGCACGTGGTGACCCCCCCCCCCCCCCCCCCCCCGCCGTTCGTCGCCTGCCGCAACACCCCCCCCCCCCCCCCCCCTCTCGTGGCCCCGCCGCGAAACCCCCCGGAGCGCTGCACCCGGGGCGGTCTGCACCCCCCCCCCCCCCCTTGCGACGCCACTGCTTAGGTGGTATTGAATATGAAAGCAATCATACACAAGAAAATAGTTTCCTAGATGCGCCCTAATTGGTGACGCTGTTCCCGTGTCTTTCCTGTGATCGCGGCGAGTGTTGTCTTGTAATTGGATACTGGTATGAAAAGCGGTCAACGCCACGAAGAAGACGAACGGGGCACCATGACCACGCCGATTTACGTTCAACTGCGCGCAAGAAAGAAGTCAGCGTAGCGCATGCAAACTTTGAGAGGCCTCCCCCTGGCCCTTTACAACAAGCACGCAGACTCTGTTTGGGTCTTCCGTACAAACCCCCCGTGGAATATTTTGCTCGTAGAATTTTAATTTCAATGCCGCTCACCCCCCCCCCCCCCCCTGAAAAAAAAGGCACATATAGTTAAATTTTTTTTTTTTTTTAAGTTTTTACGCTTTCCGCGGGGCAAATAGTGTACCAAACAAACATAGCTCTTCGTTGTTGCTGTTTCTTTTTCTTCTTTGTGTGTGCGTGTGGCAACGTTGATTAGATTTAGAAAATTCTGCGTTAAATCAAGCATACAAATTTAAAAGTGCCAGTTTAAAGGTTAAACTTGTTCGCAGGGTGACAGCGGCGGTCCCGTGGTACGCCAGGAACACGGAACGTGGACTCTACACGGGATCGTCAGCTCCACTCCGTTTATCTGCGGTACGATGCTCGGACCGCAAGTGTTTGTGGAGGTTTCCGCCTACGTGAACGACTTCATCGACCCCTACCTGAAGCTCGGCGGCCTTGAAGATATATGTCACATTGTAAGACCTGACGAGTAAACAGTAATGCACATTCCAGCGTAACTGAAAAATAAAAATACGACAAAAAATAAATGAAACTTTTCACTAGCAAGAAGCAGCTTCCAATAAATCTTCTGTAGTCACTGAAACAAAATCTAATTACATTACACGCTCAAGCAACTTACAATATTCCGACTTTTCTTTCGATGAACGGAAATTTGGCAGCTAGGCGAAGTCTCAAGTGAACCAACAGTAGGTAATTTAGTGCAATTGCTGCGTGCGACCTGCGTTCATCTTCGGTTACCCCTTCTTCCCCTCCATAATAGCAGCATGTTGCTTTACGCGTAGCGCTCCGTATTTTAGGGGTACGAACCACCGATCTCTATGAGAATTTGCTGGATCCCGCATCTTCCGCTCGGTCGCTGCAGCGCGAGTTCGGCCACCGAAAGTTCCGTATCGTCCATGTCTGAGGTACCGGAAGTCGACCTCTTGGACCGTTGCGGAGGCTGGGCGGCAGCGTGCTGAAAGTATGGTTCCTGGAACGCGTCTACGACTGGTGTGTTTACCGCGTCCAAAAAAATGGTCACTTAATTTCCGCTTGATGACATCATATTGTCAAGGATGAAGGCGACGAGACGATGAATAATGAACTGAAAATGAAGGTTTAATCAGCGAACTTGTGCCAGAAACAAAAGGAAGAACAAACGTCGAGAAAGCAGTAGCGAGCGTCGACGGCAGCAACCGCGAGCGACGGTGCATCGACGTGACAGCTGGCTCGCGTCAGAGTGAATGAATCGGTAAGACCGCACTAGACTTCTCATCTACTACACTCGGTCTCTCAAATATACGACCTATACTTGGCTTCAACTATTCTCTGCTACATTGCCAAAGCTAGCCTAGCATCCGCAGCGCTCCAACTCCGTCAAAACAGATAAACGCCTTTCGATAAGCGCCTTTCAGCGGCATGTGCTTCGACAGAGTGGGAGGACTGCGGATGCTAGGTTGACCTCGGCAATGTGGCACGGAATAGTTTGCGCCGAGTATAGAATGTTCGGAAGTGAGCTAGGGCGAGACTGGCCCGGCAAAGCCATTCTGGCCTCCCCATCTTTTACACTCAAAAAAAGTCAAATTGGACGTTTGAGCGATTTATACAGCGTAAGGTTGGTCTGCCAGTAGGGGCGACACTGGTTTACACTGTAGATGAGCAATTTGGCCAGTGCGGTACAACCGCTAGCCTGGGGTCTTTAACGTGCACCACGCAGTAGTGATACACGACCGCACGCCGGTACGATGCTCATCCAGATCTTTTACACTCTGGGCAAAAGCAAACGTGAATCTCCTATAGATGAATGGAGAAGCGTTGCCTCTCTGTCCGGCACGCGGCATTCCTCCCTCCGCTGAAATTGTATCGTCCAGACGCTACCTTAAATAAATTAACACAAAGCTAAACCAAATAGCAGAAAATAGTAAACTGCGAGTCGTCTGAACCATAATTGGTCCTCAATTCTGCCGAGCATAGTATACTTAAGACTAACGGCGTGCACTTCGCGTCGCGGCTGGCGGCGTCCTGATGGTCGGGTTCCGTCGGGGAGCTCCTCGCAGTTCAAGTGCCCAAGGCAGCGAATAATCATCTAGGACCATCCCACGGTGTCATCACTTTCCGAAGGGGGCAAGAGAGCTGCCCACCCAAAACGGAATGTCTGCTCCGGTGTCGATGGGTGCCCTCGCGTCTTGGCCGTCGATGGTAACGTCGAGGTTATTCGACACCGTCGCAGAAGCGTAGTTCTGATGCGCCTCGTCGCTAGTGTGGGAGCCATCCGACGTTTGGGGAGGATATTTGCGTCGTTCGTCTTCGGTAACACAACGTATCGGTATTGCCGCACTTTGCTTTCCCGGCGAGGCAGGGGACACAGGCTTTCCCGGCGAGACCTACGAAGAGGCGATGCAGGGCGTCGCAGTTAAGGCGAGCGATATACTCGGCGGGGCGGCATCTCAGGAGATATCGAGCGGCGCAAGTAGTCTTCAATGTCTCGAGCTCACTCCCCAAGCCGTGGTCGAGGGTTGTTTAGCGCAAACCCTCGAAGACCCATGCTGGCGGTACGGGCATCGTCAATAAACGTGGTCCGCTTTTCCGCAATGGTAGTATAGCGGGCGTCGGTCAGCCGTTCTCCAGATGTCCGTCTTCCTTCGCGCCGACTTTTCTTGGCGGACGAACTGGCAGACAACTGGCGGCGGTCGTCGGGTCATGGCGGTATAAACGTCGGCTCCTCCGGGTCGGCCATGTTGACGGGAACTTCTGGTTGCAATGCCCGCTTGACCTCGTCGCGTACGATCTCGCCGACTGAAGGCGAGGCCGGCGCTCAGCAGAGGAGAGCAGCTTTTGGAGTTCCTCTCAGACAACGTCCCGGATGATCTCGCGGATTTCTGACCTACTGGGGCAATGGTAGCAGCTTAACGACTACGATACAGCGACGCCAGAAAATCGCTGGAGGAGCGAGGCTTGTGCCTGGAAAGCACGTTCGATTCCTGTGGCCTCCGTCGTGAATAGTTCGACGGTCGCAGGTCGACTGCGCACAAGAACCCCCAAAGAGGTTTTCTTTGACCCCCCGTTTGATATCTTCAGTTCCCTCGTTCTAGGAGCTTCGGGGTCCGCTCGGCTGTTGAGTCAAAACACGTACTCAACGAAGCTGAAGATGCTCTCATTGGATCCTTGAACACATGCCTAAAGCAGCTCCTCAGCGCGCTGTCGTTTCTGCAGGATCGCGAATACCCAGCGAGGCTCATCCTTGCCTGCTTCACAGGTGTTGATCGTCTCCTCTTGGTTTTCGTACCAGGTACGTGCCATTCTCTTAAGAGAGAAGTCGACATTCTGCAGGCGCTGCTCCGGCGTTCATACCTTGTAAGGGGCAACTCGCTCTTACTGCTGCGTGCAGTCGTCCGTGCTCTCCTAGGCGTCGCCATGAAAGGGCGTTAGAGCACGCGGTGCGGCGGGCAGCAAAAAACCGTGTGGGATACGGCGGGGGGGCCTCGGTCGGCTGACCCGGGAAAGTATCTCCAGGTTCGGTGACTTCTTCCTTAGTTGTTTCACCCCTGGACCAAATTCCGGTGGCTGGCCTTTAGTGCGGCAGCTTGCTCGGGATTCGCATGTTTCCGCAGAAGAAAGTTTTCAGGGGATTGAAATCATTCTGGTACGGCGGCTCCTCGGGGGCGCACGAGGAATGGACACCTCCACCGGCAATGTCACGGATGAAGGCAACAAGGCGATCAATATTGAACTGAAAATAAAGGTTTAATCAGCGAACTTGCGCCAGAAACAAATTGAAGAACCAGCGTCGAGAAAGCAGCAGTGTGCGTCGACGGCGGCAGCAGCGAGCGAGGGTGCGCCGGTGTGACAGCTGGCTTGCTCGAGAGGGAATAAATTGGTATGACTGCGCTAGAATGTTCGGGAGTGAGTTAAGGCGAGACTGACTAGGCAACGTCGTTCTGTCCTCCTTATCTTTTACACTTGGGTTAAGAGTAAACGCGGATCTCCTAGATGAACAAGGAAGCGTTGCTTCTCGGTCGTGCACGCGGCAATATAAGAGTTGTGTTCTCGCCGTCCGCGATTTTGACGGTGTCCCTGCAGTGGTGGTGCATGTGGCAGACGCCTGTTCTGCTACAGGGCTCCCTTCAGTGTAACATTCAACGAAAGCTCCGGCAGCCAGAAGTCGGGACACCGCGACGATAGCGACACGCGCGTTCGTTCGTGCTATTTGCCAGCATTTCTACGATCAACCACCAGGATCGCGACATCCGACAGCAGGACACCCCAGCTTCTGTGACGTCATTTGTTCCCACTCCAGGACCACTTTTAATGCATGGACGTGATAGAACGCTAGACACACCAGTCGGACACGCGCTCCAGGCCCCTATATAGGAAGACACGTTTTCTGCTCGTTCGCCGTCATTAGTCCAAGAAGTTCTTTATATCCTCGTGTAAATGGTCGTAGTTGCCTTTGAGAACACGTGAAAATTTTTTACGAAAGTGCAGCACGGCAGGAAGAAAGCACAACTCGTCGAACGCTAGTCTCGTGGCGTCATCACAGGCCGAGGTGCCGCGTCTCTGGCTTCGCACGCTTCGATACCTTCAAGAATTGACGCCCTGTGGATGTGTTAACCCTTCGGGAACGTTTTGAAGGGGTGTCGCGCGGAGGACGTCTTTGCCGCATACATATCGGTCGCGGAGTTTGGGATAATCATAATAATATTATTGTTGTTTATGTGGTATATTTATCTTCAAAATAATCCACACAGCGTAGATTCTAGATTTGTATTCATGCGGACGAACGTAGAGGCGCAGCACTTCGGCGTGCAAAGGCATGTTCTTTGATGACGCCGGGAGACTTGCGTTTGACGAGTTGTGCCTCTTTCCTGCGCTGCGGTGCTTTAGTAAAACGTTTCACGTGTTCTTAAGGGTAACAACGACTGTTTACGCAAGGTTTTAGAAAACTTCTCCGGTGAATGACGGCGAACGAGTAAAAAACCTGTCTTTCAGCACGCAGCCGCCCAGCCTCTGCAACGCTCCAAAAGGTCGACTTCCGGTACCTCAAAGATGGTCGTCCGATGGCCGCATTCGCGGAACGGCGAGCGCGATCAAGCAAGTTTTATAGAGATCAGTGATACGAAAAGATAAGCCCCAAAAAATGACCGCCAAGGCGGTTTGATAAAAATCAGGAAAATCGAATAACGATTAATTGGTGTTGTCCTTGAATAGGAAAAGCCCAACTTTCACGGGAAGATATCATTATCAGCAGAAAAAAGGGATATTGCGTAGGCCAGCTGGAAACAATCTTAGAGATAAAAAAATAAAGAAAACCCGTAAGACTACGGACAAATTTGGAACAACACAAGCCCGTCTCAAGATTGGCGTTGTTTCGTGTGCATATTTTGTTTTTTTGGTCTCAAGGCTCTTTTTTTTTTTCACTATAACCGACAGTTTTGTTTCGTGTTCACCCGGAATACAACCTCCACTAAACTTGCCGCGAAGCTGCTTCTTTCTTCATGGCCTTTATTTTGTTTCTATCTCCTGCCGGTTCTGACGATTTGCCAGTATTCACGTCACGTGCATGTTCATTGGAGGTTTGGGAATCCCGTGTCCCTCATTATAATCCCCGATTACAGCACATTTTAACGCAGAACGTAGGA